ATATATTTTTAAAAAATGTTTCATTTACTTTTTACTCACCTGTTTGATGAGACTCATTTTAGGAATCTGTTTTATTTGATCCAATATATCCCAAATACCCACCTTTCAGGGTGTGATCAGGATAGAAGTGACGCGTGGGACGCCTTCCCTGCGCTGCTCCGTGCCGGTGCTCGGCCTCCGAGAGTTAGACGGAAACGTGGTCTCGCCGAAGGGGAGGGCTCACTCCGCTCCCGGGCTCACAGGTACATTTCAGTGGAAGTCAAATGCGATGGGAAACAGTCACGCCTTGGGTCACGCCAGCAGGCTCAGGCGGCGGGTGGCTCCCGTGTTGGATGTTGGACGGCACAGCTCTGAGCCGTGTTTACTTCCCTGTCTCATCTGGGGAGGCAAAGCCAGGTCCTGACCCGGAGGAAGTCTCCTCAGATATCAGTCAGAGAGATAGAAGATGGATGGATGGATGGATGGATGGATGGATGGATGGAAAGGTGATGGATGGATGAATGGATGGATGGATAAATGGAAAGATGAAAGGAAGGAAGGAGGGAGGAAGGGAGGAAGGAAGGCAGAAAGGAAGGAAGGAAGGAAGATAGATGGATAAGTGGAAGGATGGATGGAAGGAAGGAAGGATGACGGATGGATAGAAGGAAGGATGGATGGATGGGTGGATAGAAGGAAGGAAGGAAGGAAGGAAGGAAGGAAGGAAGGAAGGAAGGAAGGATGATGAATGGATAGATGGATGGATGAATGGATGGATGATGAATGGATGGATGATGGATGGATAAATGATGGATGAATGGATGGATGGGATGGATGGGTAGATGGATGGATGATGGATGGATGGATGGATGGATGATGGATGGATGGATGGGTAGATGGATGGATGATGGATGGATGGATGGATGGATGGATGATGGATGGATGGATGGGTAGATGGATGGATGATGGATGGGTGGATGGATGATGGATGGATAGATAGATGATGGATGGATAGGTGGATGGATGATGGATGGAGAGAAGAATGGATGGGTGGATGGATGGATGGATGATGGATGGATAGAAGAATGGATGAATGATGGATGGATGAATGATGGATGTGCAATCGGTGCTCCTCCCAGCGCCCCCATGCAGCTGGCACTGGGTTTCCCACTTTCCTCTTCCCATCCCACTCCAGGTCTGTTCCCTGTCCTCCGGGTGCCCCCCCCTTCTGTGGCGTCAGTGGTCTCCATCACTGTCCTCCCCTCCTGTGTCTTCTCTTTCTCCCTGCCACCCCCTCAGGGCCTGGGCCTCGCACCCTCCACAGTCAGGCCTCGCACCCCCACCTCCATCCCACTCCCAAGACCCAACTGCCCCTCCACAGACCACCGGCCACTCGCTCCCATCAGCCTGTGATGCCTCGTCTCTTCCACCAGCAGCACTGACTGAACACCGGCTGCATTCTGGGCCTTGTCCAGGCTCTGCCCTCGGATCGAATGAGCCCTGTCCTCATGGGGTGGCCGTTCGCCGAGGACACGGGCAGGCAGGCCGCAGGACCGAGAAGGGACCCCTTTGGGACGCCCACGTGAGAAGGTCCAGAGGAAAGGCAGACAGGAGGGGGATGGAGGCCGTGGCAGGCGAGCTCGGAAGGGGCGTGACAGGCCGGCTTGGCGAAGGACGGCAGGGAAGGTCCGGGCAGCTGGGGAGCAGCATGTCAGACAGGGAACAGCATGCCAGACAAGGAACAGCAGGTGCGAAGGCCGGAGGTGGGAGCATTTCCTGGGTCTCTGGGTCCCCTCCTTCAGACAGGCTCCGGGCCCGCCTTCTCCCTTCAGCATCTCCTGCACCCCCCTCAGGTCTCCCCGGGTCTCTGCCCCCAGGACTGCCCCTGCCTTCCCTTCCCGTCTCCCTCGGGGACCTGGGAGTTCTGCTCCCCTCAGACTCTCCCTCCCCCTGGAACTCAAATCTCCCTGCTGGCACAGTGCCCGCTCAGGTCCTCATAGCTGTGGGGGGCCCGGGGACAGGTCAGCGGAGGTCCCATGGGGAGCACAGGGCAGGGTGTCACTTCCCCAGAGCAGGAACGAAGGGTCTTTGAAGGTGGAACAGGGGCGAGGTGGCCCAGGCCCGGGGGGGGGGGAGGTCTCCACTCGGCCCCCCCACCTGCCCACAGGGAAGCCCAGAGCCCCTGGCAGGCTGGCCCTCATGGTCCCCCGTGCCCTGCGAGGGAGCCCTTGTCTCAGATGAGAACAGCAAGATGGAGACTAAAAGTAACGAGACAGGATTCAAACTCAGTCATGGCGGGGCGCAGGGTGGAGGGTGTGGGGGGAGGGTTCGGGGAAACGGGGTGGGGGGTGCTCCCCACACCACAGCATCCAGACGGGGTTTCGGCAGACGAACTGAGTGGACAGGACACCCTAAGATGACTGTCTTCTGCCCACCCTCAGACTGAGGGCAGGCAGTGCTGTGTGACCTTGGGCAAGTCACTCGCCTCTCTGAGCCCCCTTCTGTCTGACACCCCCCAGCGAGCTCACCTTGCAAACTAACTGGTCAGCAAATGGAATTTTTAATAGTGGTATATATATATTTTTTTGTTTTGATTCATTCAACCCAAATTCCTCTGGCCCATTCTAGGAAAACGAGGAGAAATTGCTAGAAAGCTTCAACCAAAATGTTAATTCACGATGGTAACTTCTGTGGGTACATCTTTTTATTTTTTAATATATTTTATTGATTTTTTTTTACAGAGAGGGAGAGAGAGAGACAGAGAGCTAGACACATTGATGAGAGAGAAACATCAGTCAGCTGCCTTCTGCACACCCCCTACTGGGGATGTGCGTGCAACCAAAGTACATGCCCTTGACCGGAATCGAACCTGGGACCTTCCAGTCCGCAGGCCGACGCTCTATCCACTGAGCCACACCGGTCAGGGCCTGTGGGTAAAACTTTCTGGGTGTAGCTGCTCAGACATGAAGACAACAACGAGGCTCATGCCCTCCGTGTCTCCTGCAGAAAGAAGTGGCTTTGGTGAGGAGATTGGGCTTAGTGACCCCCTCCAAGCCTCGGAGGTGGGGAGACCAGCAGCCGGGAAAGCCGGGTTTGGGGGGGCGGGGGAACAGAGGGGCCACTGGCTTTCCTGAGCTCACCACCTGAGAAGGTTTCATCCGGCCCTCACTGCAGCCCAGGGACACAAGTACCCTCACAGTTGGGGAAACTGAGGCACAGGAGGTGAGGGGACGGCTTCCAGGCCCCGCAGATGGGAGGTGCTGGAGCTGGGAGTCCAACCAGCTGCTGCGACCTTCACGCTCCCACCAGCATCACGGCAGGCAGCTGTCTGTGCTTCTCTGTCTCTCCCGGTCTCCAACCCTCTTGTCTCTCTGTGTCTCTGTCTCTCCCGGTCTCTGACTCTCCCGGTCTCTGACTCTCTTGTCTCTCTGTGTCTCTTTCTCTCCTCTGTTCTCTGTCTCTCCCGGTCTCCAACCCTCTTGTCTCTCTGTGTCTCTGTCTCTTCTCTGTTCTCTGTCTCTCTCAGTCTCTGACCCTCTTGTCTCTCTGTCTCTCCTCTGTTCTTGGTGTCTCTCGAGGTCTCTGACCCTCTGTGAGTATCTGTCTCTGTGTGCCTGTCTCTGCCTGGGTCTCTCCATCTCTAGCCATCTCTGCCCCTCCGTGTCTCTCTCCATCTGTGCTGCAGAGGCCCCGCGGGTCTCTCCGGCTCCCAGTCTGTTTCAGAGCGTCAGCCACTTCTGGATGGTGAATGGATAGATGGATGGGCAGATGGATGGACAGATGGATGGATAAATGGATGGATAGATGGATGGGTAGATGGATGGATGGGTAGATGGATGGATGGGTAGATGGATGGGCAGATGGATGGATAGATGGATGGGTAGATGGATGGGTAGATGGATGGGTAGATGGATGGATGGATAGATGGATGGGTAGATGGATGGGTAGATGGATGGATGGGCAGATGGATGGGTAGATGGATGGATGGGCAGATGGATGGGCAGATGGATGATTAGATGGATGGGTAGATGGATGGATGGATAGATGGATGGGTAGATGGATGGGTAGATGGATGGATGGGTAGATGTATGGGCAGATGGATGGTTAGATGTATGGGTAGATGGATGGATGGATAGATGGATGGGTAGATGGATGGATGGGTAGATGGATGGATGGATAGATGGATGGGTAGATGGATGGATGGGCAGATGGATGGGCAGATGGATGATTAGATGGATGGGTAGATGGATGGATGGATAGATGGATGGGTAGATGGATGGGTAGATGGATGGATGGGTAGATGGATGGGTAGATGGATGGATAGATGGATGGATAGGTGGATGGATAGATGGATGGATAGATGCATGGATGGATGGATGAATGGATGGATGAACGAATGGATGGATAGGTAGATGGATTGGTGGATGGATAGATAGATGGATAGATGAATGGACAGATGGATGGACAGATGGATGGGCAGATGGATGGGTAGATGGATGGATAGAAGGATTGATGTGTAGATGAATGGATAGATGGATAGTGCCCAGCCGCGTCCCAGCACTTGGAAAAGTGTTTCACAGGCAGGAGGCGCTCAGGAACGAGAGGATGAATGGATGGATGAATGGATGGATGGATGGATGGATGGATGGATGGATGGATGGATGGATGAGTGAATGAAGCCTCTGAGACGGGATTAGCTCCTTTGTCGGAGGAGCAGCACAGGCTGCAGGGGGCGCCCAGGAGCCCAGAGCAGCAGGTGCGGGCGACGCGGAGCCCCTGGACTCTGCCCCACGCGCTCCCAGCGGCCGGGCCGCCGCCGCCCCTCCTCCCTCTCCCGGGACTGGGAGGCTCCCTCCCGGCGGCCGCGCCCCTCGGTGGAGGCGTGGGTAGCAGCCGGGAGAACCGGCTGCGGGCGCCCCTCCCCTTGGGCGCGGAGGTAGGCACCTGGCGGCTCCCCCGTGCAGAGCCGCCGCTGACCGTCCTGCCGCCGCCGTCCGCTCCGCACTCCTCCTCCGCCGCGGCTCATGGACGGGCCCGCCGAGCCCCGGGCCCAGGGCCTGTGGGGCACCTACGAGAACAACATCTCCGAGATGAGGTGAGACCCCGCCGGGGCCGCGGCAAAGCCGCCCGGCCTCCCGCAGCCTCAGCCCGGGCTGGCCGGCTGCCGGGCACTGGGGTGCCGCCCGGAGGGAGTGGGGGCCGGGGAGGGGGGCCGCCGTTGGTCTCCCCGGAGTAGGATCGGGTGCGCCGCGAGCAGGGGGTCGGGGTCTAGTAGTTGCTCAAGAAACAGAACCTGCTTGTGCCCCGTCTTCCCCGGACGCCCCCAGAAAGCCTGAGCTCCCCTCGGGGTGCCTTCCCCTGGCGGCCGCTCAGAAGGCACCCCCAGCTCCGTCTGGGGTGATGGATGGCAGCGGAGGGTGGGGTCCTGGATGTAGCGAGTCCCAGAGCCCAGGCTGTGTCCCAGGGGGGACCTGGCCCCTCACAGGTCAGGACACTGCGCCCCCCGCCTCCGGAGCGGGACTCCTGGTTTCTGGGGGGCGGGGGGCTTCCAGACGGGGAAACTGAGGCTCCCAGGGGAAGTGGGTGTGATCACCCAGCCGGAAGCAAGTCTGCACCCCCAGAGTCTGTGGTTCCTTCTCTCAACAGCCCCAAGCACCCCCTCTCCCCCCTTCCCCGCCCCCGAGGCTCCGTTTCTCAGCTGAGCCAGCGGAGGATCAGAGACCAGAGAGGGCAGGGGGCCTGCCCAAGGTCACACAGCCAGCCGCTTAGATGGTCTCCCCCCCTCAGGGTACACTGCACCCGGCCCTCCACCCCCCGCCCCCCAACACCCACAGGCTGGCACAGAGAGGCCTCCTGGCGCCCCAGATTCCAGAGATGGGAGCAGCTGGGTTCTAACTGCTGTGTGTCCACACAAGCCTGGCGGCGTCTCTGGGCCTCCCGCGCTGGGGGGTCCCCGGGCTGGTCCGCGCTCTGCGTGCGGGAGGTTGGGGTGTTCTCCGGGCCCTGCGGGGTCTGCCGTGTCTCCTCCGGAGAGAAGCAGCGTCCCGCCCGGCCCCGGCCTCCAGGCCGGCTCCAGCCTCAGTCTCCTCCTCTGAGAAATGGGGAGACACACCCTTCGCCTGTCAGACACCCCCGGTGCCGCTCCTGGGCTCCCAGCTTCCTTCTCCATGAGCTTCTGGAGTCCCTGGGCTCTCAGGAGGGCCCTTAGCACCCCCTTCCGGGCCCTCTTCCCAGGCCCCTCGGCACACACCTCCCCATGGCCCTCAGAGGCTCCCAGGCGCCTCCTCCGGGGTGGCCGTCTCAGGGCCCACACACTGCCTCTGCCCGTCCTCCCTCTGCCTCCCACGGCCGGCCCTGCCCGGCCCCACTCCCCTCGAACCTGACGCCCTCCATTCCCAAGGCCTCCTCTCAGCCCCGGAGCCTCGCCCCGGCCTCCCGCCTCCAGTCCCTCCGAGAGCCGCCCCTCCCGGCTCCCGGTCATCCCCCACTTGCCACTCCAAGCCCCGCACCCTGGCCTCCCAGCGCGGTCACCAGGGTCACCTCCCGTGACTCCGAACTTCCTGGCCACACCTCCCCATTCAGCACCCAGGGTGATGGTTTCCCGAACATTTTAAGATGCTCACTGGGCCCCATCGGGCTGCTCCCCGCCCACTCCCACGCCCCCCAGAACCCCCGCCCGGCCTCCCCGCTGCGGGTGTGGGCTCGGGGTGGCGGCTGTGACGGCCCGGGAATGACGTCAGGAATGAATGGGGTGCCGGGCGCCCTCTGAGCCGGAGCGGGGCGGGTGGCGAGTCCGGCCGGACAAGACGCCGGTGAGGGAGGGCAGGGCGCGCAGGGAGGAGCCGGAGGGGCTGTGGGTCCGAGCGGGCATGAGCCACTCAAGGTCAGGTCCAAGAAGCCGTCCTCAGCCGAAACCGGTTTGGCTCAGCGGTAGAGCGTCGGTCTGTGGACTGAAAGGTCCCGGGTTCGATTCTGGTCAAGGGCATGTCCCTTGGTCCGGGCACATCCCCAATGGGAGGTGTGCAAGAGGCAGCTGGTCGATGTTTCTCTCTCATCGACGTTTCTAGCTCTCTATCTCTCTCCCTACCTCTCTGTAAGAAATCAATAAAATATATTTTAAAAAAAGAAGAAAAAGAAAGAAAGAAAACAGAAGGCATCCTCAGACTCCGTCCGCAGCCCGATTCCACGTCTGAGCCCCGTCCTCCACAGATAAGAGGGGCTACGCGGTAGGCTGTTTGGGGGACACAGGCCTATGTGATAAACTGCCCCCCCCCCCCGCAACCAAGCACCTGCCAGGATGTGGGGTGGGGTGAGGGCTGCGGGGAGGGGGCCAGGACGCCTTGCTCAGAATCCTCCTGTTCACGGGCTCCGTGGCCAGCGACGCTGTGTGGGTTGTAGGGGTTCCATGCCCCTGGTATGCCCACGGCAGACGGAGAAGGGAAAGTAAGGCGAATAAACGTGCTAAGAGGAACTGCTTGGAGCGGGAGGTGGCAGGGCACAGGTGTCAGGGTGGGTGGACAGGTTCTGTGGCCAATGGGGGGACACAAAGCCGGGGACAGGGATCCAGAGAGAACTATTTTTAAATATCTGTATTGATTTTTAGAGAGCGAGGGAGAGGGAGAGAGAGAGAAAGAGAAACATCCATGATGAGAGCGAGTCATTGATTGGCTGCTTCCTGCACGCCCCTTGCTGGGGATCAAGCCCACAACCCAGGCCTGGGCCCTTGATGGAACTGAACAGGCAGCCTTTCAGGGCACGGGGCGATGCCCAACCCACTGAGCCACACCAGCCAGGCCCCTAAAGAGCTTTTTTAGTCCTCCCCGTGCTCCGTGCTTTCCCACATGATCTCATTCAACCCTCCCCGCAGCCATCGGAGGCTAAGATCACCCATTTGTGACGGAGATAATGGAGGCCCAGAGAGGCTGAGTGACTTGCCCAAGGTCACACAGCTGCCAGGCGGGGTGGGGCCGGGATTTCCACTGAGGCAGGCTGACCGGACAGGACGGGCAGGTGTGAAAGGAATGAGAAGGTGAGCAAGCTGAGGGAGGGGCGGGACCGGGGAGGCGGCGGCCCCTGCCCAGACCCGGGGAGACCCGGAGGCCGCGGCTGTGCCCGGACCAGCCCCTTCCGGAGAGGGACAAGGCCAGCGGCCGCTGCCGAGCCACCGGCGTCTGAACCTCTGCTTCTGCTCCTCCCCACCCCCACTTTGATCTCCGAGTCCGCGTGCAGGCCCTTCCAGATCGTGGCCTCTTTATGGCTGAGGTGCCAGCCCTGGTTTACAGCCCGGTCCCTCCCTCCTGCCCACCCCCCCCACCCCCCGCCTCCCCCGGCCAGAGCCACTCAGCTCTGGCGGCCTCAGACCTGCCTTTTCCAAGGAAGGAAGGTGCCAGTGAAAGGGTTCTAAGCAATAAATTAATAAATAGCAAGACCTTGGCCCTCGTCCCCGCGGTGGGCGGGGGGCGGGGGGGAGGCGGAATTCAGGCGGCAGAGAGAAGGGGCCGGGCCGAAACCGGCTTTGGCTCAGTGGATAGAGCGTCGGCCTGCAGACTGAAAGGACCCGGGTTCGATTCCGGTCAAGGGCATGTGCTTTGGTTGCGGGCACATCCCCAGGAGGGGGTGTACAGGAGGCAGCTGGTCAATGTTTCTCTCTCATCGACGTTTCTAGCTCTCTGGAAAATCAATTATATATATATATATATATATATATATATATATATATAGAGAGAGAGAGAGAGAGAGAGAGAGAGAGAGAGGAGGGGCTGGGGCCACCACCGGGAATGAAGGTGCTTTGGTGAGAATAAAAGAAAAAGGGGCTCACAGCCCCCCTCCCCCTCGCCCACTCCCCTCTGCGGGGGGCTGGGGCTTGGGCTGGGGAGGCGGGGAGGGGGTTTGGGATCCTGCCTGCTCTCCGGGGGCCGGGGCTGCTGAGGACAGGGGCGTGGGAGCCGCCAGGACCCGCTCCGAAAGGACGGAGCGGCCGGTGTGCCGGAGGGGGCTCTGGGACAGGGACGGAGCCTAGCGATGGCATCGAAGGCCAAGGGGGGCGGGAGGGAGTAAGGGGGGGGCACGGGCCTGGCTCAGGGAGGGGTCGGAGAGGGGACAGGTGAGGCCAGGGACTCGCAGGCGGAGTTGGGCCCAGGCTGGGATCTGAGCCAGCACCCAGGGACCTGCCGTGAGGATAAGAATGCCCGGGTCCCACAGCCCACAGGCAGGCGACCCCGAGTTCAAGTCCCACCCAGGCCGCGCGCCCGCCGGGACCTGTGGGGCGGGCACCGGGGCTGTGGGCTGTGGGCTGTGGGTCCCTGAAGTGGGCGCGGCGGGCGATGCCCAGGACCGGCTCTCTGCTGAGTCAGGGTTTGCTCGCCTGGCTGTCTTCGGCTGTCCTTCCTTCCTCCTTCTCTAATTCCTGTGACTCCTCTTCAGCCGGGAACTCGGGGTGCTGGGCGGGGCGGGGTCGGGGTGAAGATGGATCATAATTGTGATCTTCCCCCGGGGGCGGTGGCTGGGAGCCAGCCCTCCCTGCGAGGCAGCAGGCGTCAGCCCATTTTGCAGATGGGAAGACTGAGGCCCGGGCAGACACGGCACCGCTGAGGCCTGCTCCAGAAACGTCCCTGTCAGCCCCTCGCTAGAGAGAAGGGCCGGCCGGGGCCTCGGAGAGGCCGTCCCTCTGTGGCCGTCGTCCCGTCCCCACCAACGGGAGCCGGGTCCATCCTCTCCCGGCGGGCAGAGGCCTGGGTCCGCGCCAGCACCAAGGGGGGGTTCTGTTCCAGTACGTGGGGACTGGGTCAGGCTGTACCCGCTCAGGGAGCTGCCAAACTCAGGGCTTTGCAGAAAACATGGCCTGCCCTAACCGGTGTGGCTCAGTGGATAGAGCGTTGGCCTGGGAACTCACGGGTCCTGGGTTCGATCCTCAGTAAAGGGCACATGCCTGGTCCCCAGTAGGGGGTGTGCAGGAGGCAGCCAGTCAATGATTCTCTCTCATGAATGTTTCTATCTTTCTCTCCCTCTCCGTTCCTCTCTGAAATTAATAAAAATATATTTTTTTTTAAAGAAAAGAGCCCTAGCTGGTATGCTCAGTGGATAGAGCGTCAGTCT